GAGCCGCTGCGCACAGTGACTTGTAGGCACCTGATGTCTTCACCTGTTTCCTACCACCTGTACATACATCAGCTTGCTAGCTCTTTCTGACGCACAGTAGGCATTGTCTACAGAGACAGCAAAACAACCAAACTGTCCTCACACTTCCCCACCTCCCCCTTTGCAAACAAACAAAACAAAAAAATCCCTTCCAAACCAACTGCTCACATTCACCAAACGCAAAGTAATAAAAGAGCGACTTATACCCAAACCTGGTCAGTCCTTCCATTTCTGGAAACTTGCACACAGACTGAGGAGACCCACTCAGCCTTAAAAAGGTCGATCATTTTGCTGTCTACAGCTTCATCTCTGAGAGCGAGTGCCGGCTTCCGCGGTCCTTGCCTGCCCTGCTTCTTGCTCTCTCGCTCCCTCTGTGTGTCTCTCTACTTGTACAGGAGAGGAGAGGGTTCCGTCCCCTTTCCTGTTTCTGCTGCTGGATGAAGGATGAATGCTAAGCACACGATTTGAAGGGATTATTCCCCCCCCACCTCTTCTTAGGCGAACAGTTGGAAATCTGAAAGTCTTTCTCTTCTGAATGGCTTAATATGCCACTCACTCAACACAGAACATTTATATAAAGAGGCATAAACACAACCAAGAATTCTACTTGAAAAAGGAAGAAAGAAAAAAAAAAAAAGAAAGAAAAACAACCCTCCTCTTCCCAGCCTATTCTGTTTACTTAACCATTAGCACTTACCCTGAGATGTGCCATAAATGCTCTATTCCAAATGTACAAAAGCCAGCCACATCTCAACTGAGAATCAAACAGTTTTAATGTCTTCAAATCCATGCTCCTGCTCCAAGCCCTGATACAGGCAGTCACTGGCAGCGGTACAATAGTTCTCAACAGCAGACATCTGATTCTTGACATTTAAAAATAACAATATTGGGGAAAAGGGGAGGCTTTTTTTTAATTAACTAAAACAGCTTGTGAGTGAGCACACAGCACCCATTGAGTGTATTGATTGGAATGTACAGTGACTACAAGGGAATCCTTGACAGCCACAGGCCAGACACACACACACACACACACACACACACACACACACACACACACACACACACACACACAGTCCTGGCAAGGAACTGCTTTAGGTTCCTACTGAGTGAAACTCTGAAGACCCTAGAAGACACTCAAATATTTAAGTCCTGCTGTTTACTGAACACTTATTAACATTAATTAGCGAATACTAATTTAGTTTCGAATCATGTTGGGGATTTTGGTTTCTTTCCACCGGCGGCCTAATTTTACATGGACGTTCTTTGACTGGGCTGGGCACGTCGCAGGTGGATTGCACGCATGAATTTGATTCAGACTGGGACGCAGTAATAAGACAAGACGCACATTTGCATCTACACCCGAAGCACATCACAGAACTGGACAGACCTGGGGCCAGCTGTCAGCCGCCCTGCCTACTTGGCAATCTTTGTCCCTTGGTCCTGTCTATAAAGCTAAAGTAAAGGAGGACTTCTTGGGAAGAGGGTGGGGGAGGGGTGGGGTAGAAGAGAGGAGGGGAAACAGAGGATGAACATGAGAGAAGTTTCCTAGGCAAATGGATGAAGATGACATAACGGAACCCCACCTTTGTATGAGGAAAAAAGTTCTGAAGACAGCTAAAGCAAACACAGCATTTTTCCAAGTTGTTTTGAGCATCAAATGAGATCTAGATGGTTTTTAACACACGAAAGATTTTTAACACACGAAAGGCATGACCGGATTGCGCCCCGTAAGCAGAGAGAAGTCAGACGTCACAGGGGAAAGAATCAGTTTTGGCTCATTGCACAGCTGTATGCCCTCGGTCAAGTTATCCCACACAGTTTTCTGTTTTTCTCCCCTCTGTGAAATGCCTTTAAAATCCCCCCCCCCGAAAAAAAATCGAATTAACACTTGAGGAGCAGCTGCTTTTTGGCAAGTGTTTATGAATCGAGAGTTACAGGCCTTCTAACTCTTGGAAACTGCTCTAATCAGTACACTGAAATACTCTATTTATGAATTTAAAAATGAGTAGAGAGATTACAGCCTTTCAGAGCCAACCGCCTTGTTCCCTCATATCTACGAGGCCCCGGAGTCTGAAGGACGGCTCCAGCCAACGACACCAGTTAGTGACAAATAGGGCAGAGAAACCCAGTGTTCCTGGTGGAGTGGGCTGGCATTTGCTCACTAAATCTTGCAACGGCGATGTTACGTATGACTGTAAATCCGGCTTGGAACCAGCACCTTCAGTAATAGCACTAGAAAACAAAACAACTCTTTTTCTTTCTCCAAATCTGTTTCTAAGATGAGTTTATACACAAAAATTATCCCATAGGAGCTGGCGAAACCTCCTGTTTTCTGAGAAGAGTATCCCACAGGATGTGGGATTCTTTGTCTCTCCTAGAAGCAAGAGAATTGTTGGAACTCAGGTCTCTGGAAGCATCTCCTACTTCCCCTCCCTTCTGGAATACTCAGTTCTCCCCTCCCTTTCCATGTAAGAGCATCCCAACCTCAGCCCAGAGGGCAGGCAGGGAGAGGTTGCAGTTCTCCATGTCCGTCTGCTTACTAACATGATCACCCCACTGTGAAATGCATTGCTATAAACACCGTTGTCTTTTCAGCCTGAAGGCCTTGTACAGAGTAGACTCAATAAATGTACTAAATAAGCTGCAATGCAGATTTCGCTGCGCCTTTAAAAGGACAAGTAAACATGGTTCAGGATTAGTTCTTGCCCAAGGTTTGAAAGAAAATATTAATTTTTTGACAGTTTCAAGACTAAAACAAACAAAAAAGGTGCCATCGTTCTAGGTAGCAAGATGGGGATGGGACAGAGGGAAGCACACATGAGATCTATTATAATTATTGTTTCTAGTTGGGTGACACGCAAGTTAGTGGTTGATCCGCTTTATTCCTCATAGCTTTCTTACATATATTATTTAAAAAACAAAAAGTAGCCCAAGGAAGGCAAATATTTTGAAAATAGAGGTTTCTAGCCATTAAAGTGTGACTGTGTCACCCCCCCCCACTTAGATTGTTAAACAGTTCATTCTGATGTTACTGGAGAGTGTTCAGGAATTGTTATTTTGAAAACCCCACTTTCTCCTTCCTCACTCTCCTACTTGGCTTTGGCAATGAAATAGGAATAAGCCCAAATTTCAGTCCTACAATCTTCAGGTCAGAGGCCAAAGTCCCTCCATGTTTCAAAGCCCCGGTTTCCTCTTTCCATGTGTAGCCTTGAGGATGGGGGACCCTCCTCGCGGTGTCTAGTACACCGTGGCTCTGCAGCTGACACCCATTTTCTTCTTCTGCCTTTCCCTACCACGGCACACCTTACCACTCCTGAGATTTTGACTTGGATAGGCGTGAAAGAAAAGAGAGAAAAGTGGATTTCAGGGAGGGATGGAGTAAAAGCACAAAGCCACTTGTACAAGTACTCGTGAGAATTCCATCACTAACAACGGCTGGCTGGCGTCGGATCCACGGGCAGTATCCCTCTTAAGTCTAATTCTTCTCCTCATATCCCACTATGACTTACAATAGCATGGGACTTAACAGTCATCGGTAACAGAGCCTTTTCGTAGAATATATGCTGACCTCTAGGGGGCCCCTATATCCTTACTCAACCAGAGTACTTCACCTTAGATACTGGACAAAATTTATGTGCTTAAATGCCTTCTAAATCCTTAACTTGCAGCCCTCATAATGGCCATTTTGTGGAGAGACTTGGGTTCTAGTCTCATTTCCACCACAAGTTAACCGTGTAACCCATTAAACCTTTATTTAAGTTTACCTTTTTTTTTTTTTGCCTATTCCAAGTGGGTCAGATGATCCTTTGAGCTCGAAAATTACTAATAGTTCTTTGCCTGCATCTATGTATGTGTACCATGTGTGTGCTCGTGGGGTCAGAAGAGGGTGTCAGATTTCCTGGAACTGGAGTTACAGATGATGATTACACACCGCCACATGGGTGCTGGGAACTGAACCTGGGTCCTCTTCGAAAGCAGCCAGTGCTCTTAACCACTGAGAAATCTCTCTGGCTCCTTCTGGTGGCTTATTTGCACACAGAGCAATCATACAGTAAGCTAAGCCATCCGATCGTAAGTGGGGGAAGTTAGCATGCATTTGTGACATGGTAGCTTTTTCTAGAATTGGGGGAATGGGCCCTGTCCTTGCTCAGGAATGGAGAGACGCTCTCAAGAAAGAGTTTAACGAGGGGATTTCTTCGGAAGGAGAGGATGGAGAGGATGGCGATGGTTATGGCATGCTGCTTTTAGGGTCTAGTAAAACACTTTCACTGTAAGATAGGGACAATGGGGAGGAAAGGGAAACACAGATGCTTTGAAATGGGAACCATGGAGGTCATTATGTGACGCATTGTATCTTAGGAAAAGACAATACTGGAGGGAGGGAAGAGGGAAGAGAGCTCTGCCTGTCCGTGCTGATATTTTTATCCAGGTGAATCTCATTTTAAGTCAACTGGAGGCAGAAGGGGAAATGGGAGCAGACGTAGAAGGGGAAGATCAGCCTGCTTTTGGAGGTTGTGTGTGGGATTTGCACGCTGACACTAATTGTATTTCACCACACTGATGCCTCCCCTTCACCCCCCCCTCTACCCCCCACGTTGTCCTGGTCTTCTGCAGCTGTGCTTATCAGGTCCCCCCCAACTGACTCCTTCTGTCTCCACCTCTGCAGGGCATCATCTGGGTTTTCTGTGTCTTGGAAGCGGGGCGGGCTGGGGATAATCACTGCAATAAGGAAGACGTGTGCACACTACGGGACATCTTAAGGGAGCCTAGCGAAGCTGGTAGAAACGCGCTTCCTTGAATCTCCCCGATCGCTGCCATTAATCACCGAAATGATAAACAAATCTGCTTGGGTTCACACAGGCAGTTCAGAATACAGCCAAGACTAGCATCCAGGAGCAAAGACCACACACCCGAGCCCAGGAGCAATTTCACAGCACGTTATCATTTAACATAGATAGTACCTGTAGGTACTGGCAGGACCGCTCCTGCTGACATGCCTCGGACTTCACCATGGCCTGATCCATGTTCACTGAGGCTTTCTGGTAAACCTCTCGGGCTCTGCTCACGGTGAGAGTGGAGGACCAGGCACTCTTCTTCAGGAGTGGGGCATCCAGAGTGACGGGCAGGTTAGCGCAGGTCGAGCACTTGATGTCATTGTTACTCCTGGAGGCCTTCACCGCCTGCTCGCTGATGGTGTTGTAGGCTTCCATGAAGTACTGCGAAGCAGAGCGGTCAGGGCACCTGCCCATGGTCATCACACCCGAGGGCGTGTGGTAGAGGCACATGTCGCCATCCAGGTTGTCATCTGAGCTCCACCAGCTGGGAGAGGTTGGGGAGGCGTTGGAGGCATTGGACCTGGCTTTGGACTCCGAGCGCCTCTCTTTGCTCTTGCTGCGCTTGCCGTATCTCACAGTCTGCGACTCATCGGGGCTGGCTTTGCCCCCATTGACGCTGCCTTTGGACGGCCCCTCCAGGGAGTGTGACTTGGTGAAGAGCTTCTGGACAGAGTGGACCAGGTGTCGGATGCGGCCGGGGCTGTCGCTGCGGTGCTCCACCGCGGTGCGCTTGTACTGCAGCGTGTGGTAGCCATCCCGGCTGAGCGGCAGCTGCCTTTCAAACTGGTCCAGGAGGTTGGCGGGGATGCGGTGGTTCGCCTTGGTGGCCAGGGTGCGTGGCACCAGGGCGCTCTCGTCCTTCAGCTCCTGCTGCGAGGTGTAATGCCTGCGTGGGAAGGTGCTGCTGGCCAGCGGGTCACTGAAGGGCCCCACGCACTCTGCCTGGAAGGAGTTCCGCTGGGTGTAGTAGGGGTGGTCCGCAGGGTGGTGGTCCACGGGGCTCAGCAGGTAGGGCTTGTGGTCAGAGTGGTGTGACAGGGAGTCACAGGCCGACTCGCAGGTGATCCCGTGGTGGTGGCTGCGGCTACCTGATAACCCTTTCATTGCTGACTGGAAGCAATCGCAGGGGTCATGGGAACCCCGTTAAGTTCCAGACCCCGTCTTGGGCAGAAGAGACCTGAGGGATGAAGAACAAAGGCATGGGGTTAGGTCCATCCTAGGTACATGTGGTTTCTTCCTCCCACCCCACCTCCCCCCGTGGCTACATACTACTGCTAGGTTTCTGAGGGACTCCAGGCTGTTCCTAAAAGCAGCTTTCATGCATTATTGGAAAGGGCTCTCTCACCTTTGTTAGGGTGAAAGGAACTATGGGACAAGGAGACTATGAAACACAATCTCAACTGTCTTTTTTTTTTTTTTCTTCTGAGACAGACTCTTGCTGCACAGCCCAGGCTAGAACGCTCAGTCCTGCTTCAGCCTGAGAGATGGGATCACACCGGAGTACTACCACACTGAAATCCTCCCCAAGTTCTTTGACACATAGTAGCTCTGTTTCTCCTTACGGTCCCAGTAGCTCCATGTATCTTTCCCATGCTTTTCTTCTTGCCTTCTTGACACGATGTAAGAAAGGTATTTTATTATGTTTACCCGTGGGAGCATGTATGTTGGCATGCCAGCTGAGAGCAGAGGTATAGGTATAGCATCCTCTGGAGCTGGAGTTGCTGGCAGTTGTGAGCCCAAATTCAGCCCTGGGAATCACACTAAGCAGTATTCAGCTTCTGGCCCCACATCAATCATAAATTTATCATATCTAAAGGGCCGGGTTTCTGTGGAAAGCCCTTCCAAGTACCCATGGCAGAGAGATACGTTATGGCTTTTGATTTTATGGCATCTTATATCTACTCCCCAGAGCCCACAGGATTGTTTTTTTCTGTTTCTACCAGTTGAAGTTTCTTGCAGCCTGGCTTAATGCTTCCTCACTTGTATGTCTTCCTGTTATCAAAAAGCTATTACCATAGGCACCAAGAAAGCATTCTGAGTGTGGGGGTTAAAAAAAAAACAAGATGAACAAAAGAAGCCTGTGACTCATTAAATCATTAGGATATATAACTTTGCATCGCTCTGTTCGTCATAACATTCTGTAGGAATAATTACAGTACCCAAGCATGTTAATAATGCTGATGTTAAATACAACTATGTATTTATGTATTAATAACATTAGTGATAAATATGAGCCCATATATTAATCAGCTGCAGATAGAGAGACACATAGACTAGGGATATGGGGAAATTTGTCCATGTGTTTCTGTTCTCAGAGAGCCAAGTGTCCTGTGAACAGTGCGTAAGGAAGTGCATTGGCTGAGTCTGGGTCATGTCTTCTGGTTGTCTCCATTTGCATTCCAAGATCCCCCAATGGTCAGTGTGTTGAGGGTTTGGATGTTAGCCTTCAGTGCGGTGTCATTGGTTTGGTCATGGGTACTTCGGTAGTCGGGACCTCTGGGGAAGACGTGAGGTCACTGGGAGATACTGTGGCCCAGGCTCCTCCCAGCTCTTGTTCTTTTTAATTCCTGGCTGGTGTGGGATAAACAGGTTTCCTCCATCAAACATCTCTACCATGATGTGCTGCTACTCCACCACAGGTCCAAACCCACAAGAGTAAGTGAACTAGCACATTACCTTTCCAAGACCAGAAGCCCATACAGATCCTTTGTTTTATTAAGTTCTTCTTTTTTTTGTTTTATTAAGCTGATTTTTTGGGGGGGTTACTTTGCCACAGTGAAGGAGGAGGGCTATCATGTTCACAAGTGAAAGCAGAATGACCAGAGACTGAAAGGCTCTTGGCCCTGAGGATCTGCGTGGAAGACTCTGGGCCTCACGGTCAACTTAGTCTGCGGGAGTCTTAGCTCCTGCAGTTCAAGCAGTGGGAGCTCACACTGAGTTCATATCTGAGCTCAGGTTGTCCCCGAGCTCTGGAAACAGTCTGTGGCTCTATCAGGGAACTCTGTGTTCTTTTGACTTTAACACAGTGTGCTTGTTCTTCAGGAGCTGACTGAGGTCATCATGACAGTTTGCTTAAAATTTTTTTTAAAGCTTCCTACAGTATAAAAATTGTCATTTTAAGCATTGTGCTGGAAATGGTTCAAAAATGTCATTTCAAAAGTGGAAAGATAAATGGCCAGTGAACATACAGGATGGGCTAAAAGGCACGCACCTGGCTTCATGAAGAAAGACACAGATTTTTTTTTTTAGAGAGGTCAAAGCTGGCCTTTTCCAGGGGACACATGGCATTTGTGAGCTCATGACAATGGTAACTGTCCATGCCCCTTGAAGCCCCCAAAGTTCCTCACTCCCTCTATTTTTTTTTTCTGATTGCTGCCTAGGATTGGACCCGGTGCCTTGAACAAGTCTGGTAAGTAATCTCTCCCATTTCACGGCTTAATAGCGCAAAACTACTGATGGGAGTTTTAACCGCTGGTCTTTTGAAATTGGTTAGCTTACTAGGTTATGAAGGCAAGAGACTCAGTTCATTTGCCCAATCTCAAGTACAGTGTAAATTCTTCATCGCTGATAATGCATGCTTGCAGAGTTTGCCCGGTGGCTCATACTGTGGTTGATGTAGCTGCTGCCCAGCGACACTGTGGTCACACAGGGAAGACTGGGGAAGCCAATTCCCAGGCATGGAGGAAGCAGCCATTTCAGAGAGGCAGAAGATGGCAGGTGAGCTGTACTCCTGCACCTCTTAGGTTTCCACGTCTGTCTCGCCATGGGCCCTGAGTTCTACCTGCCTCGAAGTTCAAGTCTGGGAATGTTTGTTCTGGCCCAAAGGATGTCTATGCAAAGTACACACCATGATGGTATGTCTGAAGGAGAGAGAGAGTGAGGGCGAGCAAGCCCACACAAGAGAGACAGAGAGAGAGAGAGAGAGAGAGAGAGAGACAGAGAGACAGAGAGACAGAGAGACAGAGAGAGAGAGACAGAGAGAGGAAGAGGAGAGAGGGGGGGAAGAGAAAGAGAGAAGAGAGAGAGAAAGGAGAAGAAGAGAAAAGGAGAAGAGAAGAGGGTAGAGAGAGAGAGAGAGAGAGAGAGAGAGAGGAAGAGGAGGGGGGGGGAGAGAAAGAGAGAAGGAGAAGAGAAGAGAGAGAGAGAGCCCAGTAGGAAAGGATCTAGAGGGGTTAAATATACATCTTTAGCAAAGCTACGCTGTGTGTTGACTTCTGAGAAAAGCTTTTCTCTATTAACCAGGTTTCATGGAAGGCGGTTTTATTTTTATAAAACATGGACTTAACAGTAAAGACAGAGCTAAGCAAACAGCTAGGTGGTAGAGCACTTGCCGAATGTGACAGACACCTTGGGTTCAATCTCCAGTGCTGTGCTAAGTATAAACAAACAAGCTAAAGAAGGGGACAGTCCTGGAGGCCTATACTCATATAATACATTTTAGGACTACACAGGATTGGTTCTCCACATATAAAGCAACACAAGTTGAGGCTTCAAGGTTGTCTTCTGAAGTGGCTCCGTCTTGGGTAGGTATTTTGTGCTAAATGAAACGTGAAACTGGCAAGAGTTTAAAAGATGGGTTTTCCCTAAAATGTTATTTCAATCGGGTATTCAATAATCATCTTAATATGTGAGCAACATTTTATGGACCTGAGGACAGGCAGAGATAATGAAGAATCTTTTCATTACCATCAATAATGAATTATGTTACATGATGCATCTAATGATAATTTGATGTAAATTAAACATATCCAGTATGGCATTTACTAAACTTTAAGTGGTTTATTTTCATCACAGTGACAAGCTCCTAAACCTTCCAAGAGGCTAACAAATTTCATCAGAGCTGAACTCACTTCTTCCTTCCTACTGCTTGTGAAGGGCCATTGAGCCTGTAGCCATTTTCCTGTATGTCAGGAGTTTCCCTGTGGGGCATGACCCTCACAGGGGTTGCACACCAGATATCCAACATATCAGGTATTTACATTACGATCCACAATGGTAGTAAAATTACAGTTATGAGGTAGCAACAAAATAATTTTATGGGTGGGAGTCACCACAACATGAGGAACTGTATTTAGAGGGTCGCAGCATCAAGAAGGTTGAGAACCTCTGCTCTACGTCATGGTAAATAAGGTCATAATAATGGCACTACACTGTCATAAATGTTTTGAAATGCTAAATCTCTTTCTCTGGTCAAGGTCAAGAGATTATCAGCTTGGCTCTTCCCGTAGAAGACATCACACTGTCTTTTTTATCCTCTTTCCGTTTTAAAAGGCGACTGGATCAATTTGTGGTTAGAAATCACAGCAGCACACTTGGCCACTTCCTGTTGAGCAAAACGGATGATGTAACATCCTAATGTCAGTGACCGTGGATAGACAATTGTGGCTGACACCCACCATGGAGAGCTTGAGTTCTCATTCCTCATGCTTTTCTACCACACTTCTCTCCATGGCTCCCGTTTCCTGCTCTCCTAACTGATGTTCGTTAAGTGGCATCCGTGGGCACCGCTGTCTTCCCACAGCATCGGGATAAAGCAATAACTGAGCATTGCTCATGTGCAAAAGCTAAGGCTTGCTGCTGCAAACAATGACCAAATGCATACAGGGAATCCTTACTGGCTGAAGAGGTTATGATCTACTCAGAAAAACATGACTGAGGCGTGAAAAAAAAAGCTAACTCACGATCTTCCTCATTTAATACAGTCTTGGAGAAGGACGTTGTTAGTGGCTGGATTAGGTTTCAATTGGCTGTAACAATTTCTGAAAATAGAAAGGGGGAAGCTGCCTCTTTTTTTGCCTTTCCTCTCTGAGCGAGGCTGTGAAGTATGGTCAACATGTCTCCGTGAAGGTTTCTATGGCTACGGTGATTACATCTCATTCTTTCTTGTTCACTGTGACTTAAAAATTATTTTGTTGTCCTCTGGGTTCAGTTCTGCCATCAGATCGTAAGTCCTGATGCCTGGCTTGGAGAATTTGTTGCTCTACTGGTGACCGTGAGATGAGCTTACTGCGACAGGCGCATTGTTTTTGTCCAGTCCCTGCACCTGCAACAGAAGTATTGATGCAAAGATGACGACCGAAGCTAAAATGATTAAGTGCTGTAAAGGAAAAAAAAAACCTCTAGGAAGGTAATTTATGAGACCTAAACTAAACAAACAGACCAACTACACATTAGAAG